GGTCCCATTACAAGACACTGCCTGATATTTATGATTTTCAGCTGTCCAGCTTGGCTTTCAAGACATTATTGCCCTTTTCACATAGAGCATGACAACAATCTCTCCTATTTGTCCACAGATGAGTTGTCAGCTAGTTCTTTTGGTATTTTCTCTAGCAAACAACAGTAGCTCAAAAGTAGTTGACTCTCCCAGAAAAGCTTGGTGAGCGTGAAGTTCGCTCTTACCTAGATAAAGTGGAGATAAAACTACTTACCATGGACAAAGACAAAACCTTTGAGGACCTTGATGTAATTAAAAATAAGCCCCTGCCCTCTTCAGACAAACACAAAAAATCTCAAGCAATGGCTGATTAACTTAGGAACTCAAAAGATTAGAGGAACTCAAACTGATTGGAAACTGTCACTGAGGGGTTTATATCTCCATTTCCCTTTTCTGGATTTTAGTTTCTTCCACCAGCAGATAAAAACACCAGAAGTAATGTGAATTTCACAAAAAGCCCTGACAGTGACTCTATCAGTAAGGCAGTTCTACCAGCTGAATGCAGCATTGTCTCTGGTTGTCCAACCCTGTATTACAGGTAAAATCTCAAATATTCTTCAGACCACCTGGGAGAAAAATAAGGTTATACATGTGCTACAGAGAATGTAATCTGAATACAGCAGAGCTTGTTCTATGCCCATCAATGTCAAAAATCACCTGTAAAATCTTTATAACTGGAAGGGATTTCCAAGAAGGAAAGAATGATCACATTTGGTTTCTCAGAAACCAGACTGGATTTTAACTACTGAAAAAAAAAAATCTGCAAGATAAATAAATAGATTCAGAATTCAGGAAGCTGAAGAAACAAAAATGGCAACATGGCTTTCTATAATCCAAGTCATGAAATCACAAAGAAGGGCTCCCATAATTAAATTTAAAAAATAATAAAAAATTTATATAATTCATTACACTCTTCCTTTTCTTTTCATTTGTAGCTCACAAGCATTTGTTTGTCAAGAGCACTACATGAAGACCAAGTAAGACTGGACAGAGAAGGTAACATTAACATGCTGTAGCTGAATCTCATTTGGAGCCATTCACAAGATTAAAGGTAGAGGATAGATATTCCAAATATGTATTTATAGAATATTAAGATATAGACATAAAATACATAACAAAAAGGCTGACAATCTTCAGGACAGATGGCTGGCTCCTACATTTTTGCCAGGATATGGCTTCCTCTCTTCAATTATGACTAGATTTGTCAAGTTCTGATTATGTATCGACATGAAATTGTTGCATCCAATCACGTAATCAAAACTATGCTACTAATAAGCAAAAATTACATTAAAATAACTATCAAATATTCTCGCTAGAAAACTTCACACATTTCTATACGTATCTTCTGAAATTTAAAAGTAAGTCAGAGGAGCAGGGTGAGAATCTGTATTTCTATATGTGCATAATATATGCAATACACACTCAGTCTGGTTTTGAAAAGAGCCAAATTACGATATAAATAAAAATACATTGTAAGTGAAATAAAAACACGTTTTAAGTAAAAAAAGAATATAAAATTATTCCAAAGACAAAATGCAAACATACCAGGTAGTTTCAGTAATAAACTGGAAATTACATGAAATATGAAAAACGGTATAATTCCTTGGTCTGCCACTAATTCCACACTGATATTATCTTATCTATTGATTATATAGAAGTCTAGAAAGCAAGTATTATTTTCTTTTCTCCATGATATATAAGAGCAACAACTATACAAGTCCTCAAAATCAGCTTCATCCTTCTATCACAGTGAAATTTTGTATATTGGCAGAAACATATTTAGGCAATAATAAGGTAGTTTTGAAAAAATCTGCAAGAAACATAAAATTGGAACACATTAAATTACTTCAGAGTGGGGGATATCACAGGAGAGGTCAGAAGCCGAGACAGAAAGATGACTAGAAGCCATGAGTGTATAGTTAACATTTTTTATTTCCATGTGAATTTTGTCCTGTATTGTAGCAGAAAACCAAATGATAGGATTTTTTAATTCTGTGTTATACTGCCCTTCTGAATGCATTCCTCCTCTTCGATTGCACCATCTGGTTGGCAATTTGCCTAAGTGTCCTTCCTGCTTTCTCGGAAACTAAGTGTGGATGTGCTTAGGAAAGAAATGGGAAACATTGCCACTCAAAGAGTTGCCTGCCTGCACCATTTTAAATCTGCTCCCATTCTTGTCCTTTTTCTTCTGTTCCATCACCGTGTTTCTGACTCTTGAGTATCCCTGTGGCAATGGACTGGGTTACTTACGGTCGTGGTGACAGAAAATGTTTAAATTTCAAATAGGTTTTTAAAGAAATATTTCCATGTATTCCCTCCGCAAATGGAGGAGGTTTTAGGTTGGTTTATGTGGCTTTATTTAAGGTGCACAGTACCACTGCTTTTTAATATGTGCTGGTGTATCCAGACACATGATTCTGTCCCTTTCTTTCTCTCCCTTTTTTTAACCATGTGTATTTTGTAAATAGGAACTTATTTTCCACACATTTTCCCTTTTTATTTTATCTATAAGGTCTTATCTCAAAACACTGCTGATGAACATATTTGTGAAGATTCAGATGCACAGATTTTGCTGAAATTATCTGTGTTTTCTTACCCAGGAACTAACTGCACATCTGGAAAGGCTTGTCTAGACTAGCAAGAGGCTGTTTAAAGACTTCAGGTTAAACCCATAAGCCTCCTTAGATAGGAGGAAAGCACTAACACAAAATTGAGATCCTTCAGAATCTAAGCTCAGTTAGCACCTAATCCCATCGTTTATGGCTATGATTGCCAACCTCATAGCCATCAATAGTTCTTTCACAGAGAGCTCCTTATGTGGGCCTGCCTAAAAGCACTGACTCTTCACAGTGCTGATAAACTCAGTGCTCCAGTCAGACTCTAATGTCCACTGGATTCACAAGTATGCCTCTGCCTACCACATTGCCTCCAAAGGATGTTCTTTGCCTGTCTAATTAGATTCTTTAAAAAATATGCCATTTGATCTCCTACAAAAGATACCTGAGATATCCTTACCTTAGTGCTCATTTTGTATATGTTGATCTGCACACCACCCTTCTCCCTGTGCCTCCCTTTCTCTCCACCTTCACTTCAAGTATTGCAATAAAAATTGTAACCCACGAGTCATAAATAGAACTTATTTGTTCCATTTACATCACTGGAAGAATGTGGTGCTCTGTGAGCAGTGCAGTTTATGATGCTGGCTTCAGTATGAGTAGGGAAACCCCTGAGACTTATACACTTCAGTAAATGAGGGTTTTTCCCTTTCCTCACAAACGTTGTCTTTGACCTCAGCTTTAGATCTCTGCACAACTCAAATCTCCTGCTCCCCTGCAGAACCAACTCTGCCATGGCTCTCTAACTGCTGCCTGGCTCAGTGGCAGTCTCTTCTCTTTTCTGAGCTACTTATGGCTTAATTTAGTGCCACAATGTTTGCTGAATATTTCTTGAAAAAGTTTTTTGATACCTTGACATAAATAATCATGAAAATCAGCAATTTTTAATGGGAAATGTCCCTAGTTTTCCATTAAAATAATTTTGGTTATGCCAAAGCAATGCAACTGGCTATAAGCAATGTGTTGAACAATGTTTTGTTACAGTTCTGCCTGTGAAAGCTTTTGCAATACTGAAGGGATGTCAGTATTTTCAAAAGGATGCAACATCTATATTTATGTATGCAGAGATTATAAAAAAAACCCCAACAAATCCTTAAAAACATTCTGAGTACAAAACAAGTTTTCGGCATCAAAAACACAAGTATATACCATAGTTAAGATACCCATATTGTCTTAAATAGAACCATTATTCTACTTTCCAACTATTGAGACATACTGCAGCATCCAATATGCCAGAGCAGTGTAACTGTTAGTAAATGATGACTTTTTAATGGGAAACCCTGTACATGTTAAAAATATGATACTCTCCCTAATCGTATGTAACTAAAGATATCTTCTGCAGATCATGAAGATTTAGAAACCTCTGAAAAACAGATGTGCCAAGCAAACCACTAAAAGCAAGTATATACTGAATTTATTTATTAATTTATACAGTGCCCATCTCAAAGCACAGTCTGGAATCCTGTACAGAATAAACAAAAATTAAACCAAACTGGGCTCAGAGCCAAGAGAAATCAAGTGTACCAATAAAATGGGGGAGGGTGATAGAAAACTATTCCAAAAAGATATATACATGTCCAGATACTGTGCTGTCTTAGTGGACACATCATAATATCAATACTGGAAGTAACAGAAATACAATTTGCAGCAAGGATAGAAATATTCAAGGGGGAAAAAAAAGAAAGCAATTATGACAGAGTTAATTTACAGCTATTGAAAGCCACACTACAGAAGCAATTACAGTGGAGGAAACACAAACTGTGTGAATTTTGAATGAAGATTGAGTACATATATTGTCACACATCTATAAGATTTCAGCTCTAACTATTGATCGTATTGCATTTTATTCTTTGATTGCAATATTCAAACAATAAGAAAACATTACAACTGCCATGTAAGAGCTTTTGGGTGGGTATTCCCTCAAATATATGAACTCGTATTTTATCACTGTTCTCCTTCCCATATTTTATTTATAACATATCAGGGTTTTTAGTCCTTTTTATGATTTTGATGACTTAGATGAATAATGATGAGGTAGCTGCCTAAATACAGAGCTACTATGAAGAAATGCCTCTGAGATCTAGAGAGAAAAGACAAGGAAGCAGCACATTCTATTTTCAAAAGACATAAAGAACAGGCCACACAATTAAAATGGTTTTTGGTTGTGTATCCTCTCCTGATCACAGAACGGGTCAGGTTGGAAGGGATCTCAGTGGGTCATCTGGTCCAACCTCCCTGCTCAAGCGGGGTCTTCCTAAAGCACATTGCACAGGACTGTGGCCAGGTGGGCTCTGAGTATCTCCAGTGAGGGACACCCCACAACCTCTCTGGGCAGCCTGTTTCAGTGCTCAGTCACCATGAAAGTAAAGAAGTTTTTCCTCATATTCATGTGGAACTTCCTGCGTTCCAGTTTCTGCCCACTGCCTCGTGTCCCACTGCTGGGCACCCTCGAGCAGAGCCTGGTCCCTCCCTGGCACCTCCTGACACTGACAGAGGGGATGAGGTCCCCTCTGAGTCTTCTCTTCTCCAGGTTAAACAGGTCCAGCTCCTCAGCCCAGAACTGGACTAAGGGCTGAGGAGAGGGGCAGAATCCCTTCCCTGACCTGCAGGCAGTGCCCTTCCTCACGCACCTCAGGACGCCCTGGCCTTGTCCCCCAGGACACACTGCTGGTCAGGGACACCGGGTTCTCCACCAGCACCCCCAGGTCCTTCTCCACAGAGCTGCTTCCCAGCAGCTCAGCCCCCAGCCTGGACTGGTGCATGGAATGCCCTCCCTGCTGTTTTTGCTCCATCATGGACACCCTTCAGCCCTGGATACTCAGGGTGGAAATAATTTGGTGGCAATAAGTCGCTGTCGGGCCGGGCCCAGGGTGACTGGGCCAGCCAGAACACGGAGGTGACGTGAGGGGAAGGCACCACCAGCGCCTGCTGATTCTGAGTCTTTCTTCATTATTATGTTATTTTACCCATACCACTGGCAGTGAGTTTTACAACCATTTTTTCCCTGACATTCTCTCTCCCAGGACAGCCCAGTACCAGCCCTGTTTGTAACACATGGAATTTTACATGTCTATTCACTGAAGACATTTTCGGTGACTCTCCTGCCCTCCAATTCACCCACTCAGTTTTTCAGAGTCTCTGTCAAAACAATCCTCTCCTTATAAAACTAATGAAAACTTCAGCAACAGGTTTAGATTCCTTTACCACGGAACAAGATTTCAAAGTGAGATTTAACACCCAAATCCCAATCAGAGAAAAGCAAAAGACTTTTTCTACATTACTTAGTGGTTTTGAGCTCTTTATAAATAGGTGAAGTTTTACTGAATGTGAGTTGTACAGTAATATTACTAAAAATATCAATGATACTGAGCTCCAGGGAAAATTTAAACACATTTGAGACATGAAAAAAGTATATGCTATAAATAGTTGCAAGGATGGATAGTAATCAATAATGTGTGGACCTAACTCAATAATTCATTTTATATTGCATATAATATTAATATACTGGAAAATGTTATTCGAGGAAAACTGAAATTGCTTAAAAAACATAATTTTAAAAATATTTGCAATGCCTTTGCACTTCATTTAGCATTTTTAAAATTGCTAGCTAAATTCCCTAACATTAAGATGAGTCAAATTAATCTCTTACAAGTATAATATAAAGGACTGTGCCATCCTAACATTCTTAATAATTATTATAAAAATATATTTCAAACTGCTAGATTAAGTCAAAATCCTTGACTGTATTACACAAAGCCTTTACAATTAACTTCATCTCTCATTTGAAATATTTATATCTATATCTAAATATTTATTTGAAACACTAAGTTTGCTTCCTTAATTACATGTTACATTTAAGAGGGGAGGGAAGCTTTCCCTTATGCCTCTCCAGGTAGGTACCTGCATGTCCATGAGTGTAGAGAAGCACACATACACAAACCATTTTTCCAGGGAAAGTTTAGCAGTACATCTATTTAATGCCTCTGATTAAAAAAACATTTTCTTTTTCATTTTACTAGGAATCTCTTATTGATTTAGATCATAGTTGAAACCCCCAATCAGCTTTATCAGAGATGAAGCTGTTCCTACTTCTAATTATAACACAGTTTTCATTTGCCCTTTAAGGAACTACAATAGATCAGGATACAATTTTCTCTCCTGAGTGTTTGCCTCCAGATTATTATTACTATTTTCTGAAAGTCTCAGCCAAAACAGTTCAATTCAAAAAGGTATCAAAGAGAATACTGGATAGTTTGCCAGGGTTACTAAATTCTAGTAACTCATTCCTTTAAAGGCTTTTGTATTCCCAAACTTGAGGGCAAAAGTGTAAAAAACAGAGGCAGGGAGGGAAGCTGAAATTATAAAAGAGGGAGAATAACAAAGGTAAGAATCTGAGGGACAACCCTCTTCAATAAATTAGATTAGGCAAGTCCAAAAAAGAAAACCCCAAACCATAACAAACCAATTCTCCAATACTTAGTAGCAACTTACAGAGCTGTAGAACAGAGGTCCGGCAATGCCCTCAGAGAGTTGTGGGATCTCTCAGGCTGGCTCTATAGTCCAGTCTCTGGCTCAAAGCAGGGTCAGCCCAGAATTCGGATCAGATTTCTCATGGTTTTGTCCACCTGGATCTTGAAAAGGTCCAAAAACTGGTGAGTGCACAACTACAGAGACTGGGAGAGGGAATTAGATGAGATAAAATGTGGTAAGAGCACTCCAGTAAACAGCTAGAATGGAAAGAGAGTGAATGAGCATGAGAATTGGGACTCGGAGACAAATTCTGTAACTGAGGTGTTCCAGAAACTTTGAGCTACAGGTGTACTTTTGATCACAACTACGGGTAGTTTGGTTGACCACAGGGTCTCAACTTGTCAAGGAAAAATAGTGAAAGTTTTGGATTTAATGATCCATTCAGTGTCCCATCAGCTTCCCCGCCATCAGTGACAAAGAGACCTGCACAAGCCTGGTTCCTGCACCTGCCCTGTCAGGCATTCAGCCGCGACTCACAACAACCCCAGGCAACACTCCAGTCGTGGGGAAGAGAGGCTGGAAAGCTGTCTGGCAGAAAAGGACTTGAGGGTCGACAGCAGCTGAACATTAGACAGATGGAGGCCCAGGACAAAACTTGCTGGATGCTGCCTTTAGCCTTCTCCCTTTCTTGGAGGCAAATGTACCTGGACTGAACAGGGATGAGCCAAAAAGGAGTCAGCGTCCTTGCACGAACAAAATCACACAAGACTCCAAAACCAGGTGCCTTCCCTGCTCTCAGTCCCACCTGCCCAACAGCTCAAAATCTTCCCAGAGCATACAAATGAGCCCACCAATTAAGGCATGAGGCCACACTTCAACCAGGCACATTGACTTCACACAAACCAAAAGCACAGAACCCAGCAAGAAACTCGCAGGCCACCCTTGTAGTGAGTTTGGGCAGGAAGCACTGAGCAAGCACAGGGCTACAGCAGCCACCGCTGCCCAACAGGGCTGGGACTGTCAGGGACATGGTGTTTGCACGTGTGTCCTGAGGAGATTCTTCTGCCTTTCTCTCCTAAAAGAGAGACTGGTTGTTCATTTTATAGGGACAAGAGCGGATGCAGGAAGCATTACAGGGAATGCTTGTGGGTGAAAGCTGAGCACGAGACCAAAGATTCAAACTCTTTCCCAGTATAACTGTGCCATGGGAGAGCCCCAACACTGACTGACTGACAGTGTTGGGGCTGCTGCTTTCAACATTCTGGGCTGGCGCATGGTTGATCCTGTGGCATTTTTCAGGCTGGCTGAGTTTTGTGCAAGCTGTTGTTTCCCTGGTCGGTGCTGAACCTGGACTGGTCCAGGGTGGCAGGAGCCGCTGCTGCTTTTAGGCACCAGGGAACCATGCGACAACTCTGATGCCAGCTGACAAGCTGATGCCAGCTGATAGGTTGACAAGCTCTAAATCGTCACTGGAGGCAGCAGGAAGAGGCAGGAAGGTCAGCAGCATGGCCACCAAGGCCCATGGCAGGAGAGGTCATCATGGTGCCCACAGCCCTCCTTGAGCAAGCCAAGTCTAAGCCCCTGCTGCCAGGCCCAGCCTGGACCCTGGTCCCAGCCCTGGGCAGCCAGGTACTTTGCCTCTCACCCATGCCCTGGCCAGCACAGCCATCACACTCCCAGTTGGCTGAGGTGTTCCTCAAGCAGCAGCAGCCTTGGTGGATGCCCTCAGCAGTGCAGGAGCAGCACAGCAGCAGTTCCCAGGGCCTGGGAAGCAAACGAGTTGCTGGGTGTGAGGACAAAGTGACGCAGCAAGGGATGGCTCAGCAGGGTCCTTGTTCTTCGTCCTTCCTCCCCGAGCCCCAAAGGACAGAGATCCCGTGCAGAGCCCTGGATTGCAGCTTTGGCCACTTATCCTCTTCATCCACCTGCTCCCTAACTCCCAGGAAAAGCCACTTACCAGCATTGCAGTGGCTGTGCCTCTGATCTACCAGCTGATCTACCTGCTCTTGTCAGGTCCTCAACTTCTTGGCTGCCTCCAGGATTGCATGCCAAGGAGAAACAGGGTGTAGCACTGTAAGTACAGACAAAGGAGATGAATTAAGGCTGCTAACTTAATTCTTAACTTAATTAGGTATTTACTAACTTTGCAGCTGTAAGGTTTTCTTTTAATGCAGTTTTCTGCATGTAATAATAAACCTTGTACTTATTTAACTGATTTCTATGCAAGAGAACAACTGATAAATTAGAAGCACAGAGTCATGAAAAGTTCATGGCATGCAAATTGTGATGACTGCTGTGGTATCTGCCATAGTTTTCAGGTCTGAATTGCTCTTTAGTAGCATTAATTTCCCAGTGTGCAAACATTTTTTCAGGTGCTTTCTGAGGTTGGCCATTGTACAAGTAGCTTAAAACTTTTTTTTATACAGAGCCTTTTCAAAATCTCATTACTGAAAATGGGAACAGTTCAACTGATACGGATTGAAATCCATGGATTTTGCAAGAACATCCATATTTCTGAATGCATAAAGCTACAACTCAGCCAGATGCTTAGGTATGTGCATACTAATTGCATACTAATAGTACTTTCGATATCAGTAGAATTGACAGTGTTTTTTAAAATTAATTATACACATACCCATAATGCCAAGTAAGAGCTCACACTAAACTCAGAGAAGAAAAGAAATAGGAAAGGCCAGAAATATGATAAGCAATGGACATTATATTATCTTATGGCATTAAAACAGAAGAAAGGAGAAAGAAGAGTAAATGATCAGGGAAACAGTTTAAAAACACACATTCAAGATTCACAGAAAGCCTATAGAAAGTTTTTCATTCTCTTTTCCCCAAAGATTCAGCAAGAGTTTTTCTGTTTCTAGAACTGATAGCTGAGTGGCATTTGGGGTTCTTGCTTTTCAAGCAATAGTTGGAGAACAATTAGGTCATGCTTCTGAACGAAGTTTGAAGCAGCGGAAGAGAAGATCTGAGATTTGCCTTTTGCTTCTTTGGTACAGAAGAATTGTGCAGCATTTAACTCATGTGTTTTACTGGACAATCTCCTGAGAAAGGGAGTTCTAGCTGACACAGCACCATGTGCACAAACACAGCTGAATTCATTTTGACCAATGATGTAGCAAATGGGTCAATATAATCCGTCACATAAATGTTGGGACCAAGCCTGCAAAACCTCATTCATGGGAATAATCCCACCAATACAGAGTCCAGATTAAAGGATACACATAAAACCCCAGCAAAGTTAAGGTTTTAAGCTCATCATTTGAGAGAGAGATAATATTCATAGAAACATGCAAACTACTGGGATATTCATTAGAAAGTGCAAAGCTCTCAGAGTCTGACCATTGATATGCTGGCATATAAAAATCTCCATGAGGCAGTCAAAGCTCTTTTTCAGAATTATATGATCATGTCTATGTATATCCCGCTTTTTAAATTTTTCAAAAGCTTTCTAGCTTTTGATTTACAACTTTTCTGGGGTTTATCAGCTGCTTTTAGTTTCTTGGCACACTCCCAAACTCATCTGGGTAGTAGCATGAACCCAGTGATCTTGGCATCTAGAATTCTGTCTTCAAAAAAGCCAAATACCTTTCTTACTGTCATGGTCAGTTCAAGCTTTCGATACACAAAATTGCTCTCTCCTGCAGTGCACACACACAGAAACAACCGTCCTCCCAGCACAGCACACACCCCAATGACCTGATTGCTTTGTGTTTGCTGTGTCACATTTAACCTCACTGTTTTAAAACCAATGTTTCCTATATACAATGGTAATTGGAAATGGCCTTCAACAGCCTCTGAAGAACACAATTATATTATATAATGATATCGGAGAATTAGCAAGACACCGTATCACCTTGTTTATCCATAAGTAACAGGGTATGATGAATGAGAAAACCTGATCCTAGCTAATGCCTTTCTGACCACCAAAATTCACTAAATGGATGATCCTAATTGCTTACCAGTGCTTCTGAAATACCACATTCACAAAAGTTTCCTCTTATAATCTATATAGACGGTCCTATTTAAAAATAAAATCCACCTGTGTATGCTTCAGGCTTTGCTTTAATGAAATTCTATCCTTATTGTAGATATGGCCACACAGAAACCATGGAAGTGACATTAGAGACCAGGATTTTCACTTATGTAAAATGCTTTTTTAATGAAAAACTGACATTTTCCTAAAGTAATCAGCCTTGAACTTATCAACAGGTAAAACACTAATGTCTCCTTTGCTGAACCCTGGGGATTGCACAACTGTTTAATCTTGCATAAGTTTTCACTGAACTGTTTTTTTAGATGATTCAGAATAATCACAAACCTTATTTAACACAGGATACATCTTTACTGTTTCACCTTTCTGTTAGACTTTATTTAGGGGCCCTCAAAAAATAACAAATGCTTTTCCATCCCCAGACTCATAGAATGGTTTGAGTTGGAAGGAACTTTAAAGATCATCTCATTCCAAACCCCCTGCCATGGCAGAGATGGTTTCCAGTAGACCAGGTTGCTCCAAGCCCTGTCCAACCTGGCCTTGAACACTTCCAGGGATGGGGCAGCCACAGCTTCTAAGGGACCTGTGCAAGGGCCTCACCACCCTCACAGGGAAGAATTTCTTCTTAATATGCAATCTAAACCTACTCTCTTCCCAATATGCAAATGCTATTTGTAGCTAGGATCCATGCTTGAAGGCACTACGAACATGAATTTATTCATTCCTTTAGCTGATAGAAAAACTAAACATCTTGAGGTTTCCCAGTTCTGATGAGATCTCCTGCACCCAGTATTCAGTTACCAAAGCAAAGTTCCCCTGACTTGTGGTTGGCACTAGTGGTGCACAGACACGGAAGCACCAGTTTTCATGAAGATGAGTCATGCTAGTAAATCCACTGCCCCACTCATTTTGCTACTCAACTGTTTCTCCTTGCAAGGGTAAAGTCTGCTGCTCTCCCCTGCCTTGAGGACACATGGATCCACAACTCTGCTGCATAATGAACGTGCCTGTCGCTGCCAAGGTTCGGAAAACATTTGGGCACAGGTGTCGAGTCCTTGTCAGCCTCCAGGGCCAATAAACAGAATTTCTGCAATGTAAAATGAGACAATACATTCACAAAGTCATCAAGTTTTCCCAGAACATGCTAAGCTCCAAAATAAATGCATTTCAAGCCTTATAACACTACCATATTCATAAGGCTCATTACTGTTTTTAATTTTGCTTGTTGCTTATTTACTGTTTACTCTCTTGCTTTACTGCCCTGGTGAAATTGCTCTTAATTGATACCTCAAAATGAAAGAGGCAAAAAAACCAGGAACACAATTCCAGAAATGCTTGGTCCCTAACTAATCCTGCCATAGACTCACTAC